TCTGCCAGTTTGAGGTTAATTTGTTCTATGTCGGCTTCATGATCTGCTTGTGCGTCTATTAGGTCATTGTGTGCCGTGAACATTTCCCCCATTTTATTCTCAATGTGGCGAATACAGGAATACGGGAATCTTGTTTTTGTACCGTGGTTGAGATTTGAGATAAAGTTGCTGTCAGATCATCATGTAGTGTTTGTCACAGAGAAAGAAGCATACTTTTCATTGAAATTTCAGTAATAGATTGGTCAGAAGCAGGAAAGTTTTCAATCAAAGATGGAGTAGAAGTAGCAGTAAATGTAGGTGGATAGGAAGGCTGGAGATCAGGTACAGATTCTATGTCCAGTCTGGGCCTGGACTTAGCAGGACTGCTAGTGGAGGGAGACAGGGGTGGAGAGGACTCACCCGGGTCTCCTGGGTATAGTGGTGCCTTGAGCCTGGGGTCTGTTGTTTGTGCTGCATGTCCCTTTGCCTGTGTGAGGAGATCGTTCTGCATGCATGCTCTGAGGGCTGGAAAGAAGCTTGTCAGCTTCCCTGGCTGCCCAGGTGATCTGCGGCGGCGAGGCATGGTCTGGAGGGTGCCGTATCCCTCTATGTCCTCTTATATGAACAGGGAGAGTTTTTTAAATTTGCTGTGTCCAGTTTGTGCCGGGATTTAGCTAGCGGCGGGATGGAGCTCTCTTCACTGAGCTGCCATCTCAGAGCCAGCAGAGCATGCTCCCCTGCCCTGGACGTTTTGATAACGCTGTGTATAGTCACGTTAAAAACGTGAGTTTTTCAGCTTATTTTTAGCGTTTAGCTGTGTTTTTTTTCCGCATTTGTGGGTTTTTTTTCCAAAAAAAAAAAATAAAAACATCCAAAAACAATGGTTTGTGGCATTTTGCTGAGTTTTTCAGCGTTAGAGCAATTTTACAGCTAAAAAAACTCCTCTAGAAACCCACTAGTCCTGGGTTATTTTTTCCAGCCAAAAAATGTCTCAGCCAAAAAACGTTGATTGCATTCTATGTGTGCATGGACACATAAGATAACATGCTGGGGGGTTTACTAGCTGTAGGAAAAAAAACATAAAAAGACAAAAACAGCAGCTGTAAAAATGTCAAGTGTGCATGAGAACTTATAAATGAACAATTGAAGTCAGCTGCTACCTGCAGATCAAATAACCATTGCAGAATCAAACTCCAATTGGAAAACACTCAGCTGGTATCTGTAACTACCTGAGATCACATCCACTTGCACTGCAAGTGGAAGCCGAAGATTTTGATTTGTGATATAGTGGAAATCCCCAGGGTTCCTCTTTGGGTGGCTTCCCAGTAACCTTCTTTGGTGCTGTTTAAACATTAGAAAACAGCAGGATTCTGCTGCTCACGCATTCTATAATTAATAAGTTACGATTCATCTATGACAAGTATGCCCCAGGGGCTCCACACTTCTAGCTCGATTACACTTATCCAGTTAGTGCAGTGCACCCTGCTGATTACTGATGGATCCATTATCAGCACTTAACAATATCACTACAGTTCTTCTCATCATTAGCCTAAAACTACATCCCTTAGTAGTAGTCAATGTTCTCTTCTAGACACAGTAATAGCTCTAAACATTTACTTCTTTTTCTTGTGTCATAAAATCATTATATATGTGATTGTTTCACCCTAAGCACATCATATAGATTTCCATTAATACATCTATCTGCCTCCATATTGTAATCTATGCATATATTTGTCAGTGTCACCATGCTGTGTATACAGAGAAGAGAGATATGGTAATGTATCTCTCCCCTACAGTTCTTCAATATTATTACTGGTAATAATGCTTATAATATACATTTACGTCAGCAATAGGTTTCAGCTTGACTGACTATAAATGTCTAGCATATATCTAAAGTAGAACTCCAGACAAAAATAAGATGAAAATAAATATCCATTAAAAGATAAAATAATAAAATCAGCTCTTGCTGCAATATTCACCTTCAATTCAGAGATTTCCCCTGCAATACTCTTTTTGAAGGCTAGGATCCATCAACCGGTTTCCTATGAGCCCTTTCTCTTGCCATAATCTTTTTTTTTAGACAAATAGAGCTTTCTTTTGGTGGTGTTTAATCACAACTGGGTTTTTTAGTTTTTGCTAAACAAACTAAAAAAAGAAAATTTTGAAAAATAAAAAGTTTTTTCTTAGTTTCCATTATAAAATTTTGTAAATAATAATTCTTTTCTTCACTGACATGCACTAAGGAGGCTGCAGTGATGGGCACTGATAAACAGCACTTGTAGGTGGCACTGATGGGAATTGACAGGCATCACTTGTGGGCATTGACAGGCATCACTGATGGGCACTGAATGGCAGCACTCATATGTATAGGGGGTATGATAGGCGGCACTGACTGGAACTGATAGGCAGCACTGATTGGGACTGTTAGGCGGCAGCACTGATTGAAACTGTAGTAGTAGAGGTTAATGATTCATACTCTGAATGGTCTAGGGTTGTCAGTGGTGTACCCCAAGGTTCAGTGTTGGGACCCTTACTTTTTAATATATTTATAAATGATATAGGGTCTGAGATTAAAAATCCCATTTCAGTCTTTGCAGATGACACCAAGCTGTGCAGTGGAATAATATTGTCCTTACAGGATATCTCCAACTTACAAGCCGACCTCAATGCGCTGTGTAATCGGGCAACTATGTGGCAAATGAGGTTTAATGTTGATAAATGTAAGGTTCTGCACTTGGGGCTAAGAATATGTATGCATCATACATACTGGGGGGGGGGGGGGGGGTACAGCTGGGGGAATCAATGGGGGGAGAAGGATCTGGGAGTTCAGGTAGATCATAAGCTTAATAAATGGCATGAAATGCCAAGCTGCAGTTTCTAAAGCAAGCAAAATCCTCTCTTGTATTAAGAGGTATACTCCATAGAGAGATATCATATTACCCCTGTACAAATCATTAGTAACACCTCATCTAGAATATGCAGGTCCGTTGTTGGCACCAATTCACAAAAAGGACATTGGGGAACTGGAGAAAGTACAAAGAAGAACAATCAAACTGATAAGAGGCATGGAGGAGATCAGCTATGAGGAAACATTAGAGGAACTGTATGTATTATCTCTTGAGAAGAGGATATTAGGGGGGATATGATCAACATGTATAAATACATCAGTGGTTCATATAGTGAACTTGGTGTAGAGTTATTCACCCTGAGGTCATCACACAGGACAAGGGGGCACTCTTTACGTCTGAATAAAAAGAGATTTAATCTCCAAATACGGAAAGGTTTCTTCACAGTAAGAGCTGTGAAAATGTGGAATAGACTCCCTCAAGAGTTGGTTCTGGAAAGCTCAGTGGATTGCTTTAGAAAAGGCCTGGGTTGTTTCTTAGATACACAGAATATAACTGGATACTAACATTTATAGGTAAAGTTGATCCAGGGAATATCCGATTGCCTCTCAGGGGATCAGGAAGGAATTTTTCCCCTGCAGGAACAAATTGGATCATGCTTTGCTGGGTTTTTTTTGCCTTCCTCTGGATCAACTGTGGGTGTAGGATTATAACTTTATTTTATTTTTTTTTGGTATGGCTGGCCATAAACTATACAATTTTTTGTCAAATTTCCTTTAGATTTACCTTAAACTATGTAGTGCAAGGGCCTGCCTAATTGGATACAGTTATTTATTTATTCCAGGTACTTATATAGCGCCGTCAATTTACGCAGCGCTTTACATATATATTGAACATTCACATCAGTCCCTAACCCTCAAGGGGTGTACAATCTAAGGTCCCTAACTCACATTCATACATACACATATTAGGGCCAATTTAGACAGGATCCACTTAACCTACCCGCATGTCTTTGGAGTGTGGGAGAAAACTGGAATATCCGGAGGAAACCCACGCAGGCACAGGGAGAACATGCAAACTCCAGGCAGGTGGTGCCGTGGCTGGGATTCAAACCAATGACCCTAGTACTGCCAGGCGGAAGTGCTAACCATTTAGCCACTGTGCAGCCCAATTAAAAGTCTTCTTTAGGTTTGACCTCATATTATATGGTTTTTGGTAAATCTAAAGCAAAATTCTTAAGAAAATTGTATAATGTATGGCCAGCCATACCTATACATATGGCAAGTTTTTGCCTTTAGTTATACTTTAGGCTGGCTATACATTATACAATTTTCTTGAGAATTTAACTTTAGATTTACCAAAAAATTATAATATGAGGTCAAACATAAACAACACTTTCAATTTTATCGAGTTAGGTGGGTCCTTGCACTACATAGTTGAAAGTAAATCTAAAGGAAATTGGGCAGAAATTGGACAGAAAATTGTATAGTGTATGGCCAGCCTTAAATACACTTCCTGCAATGAACATCAGGTGATGCCTAATTTACATGAGCTTCTAACTATTGAGAGCAAGGCTCAGCCCCACCTCCTGCTCCCTCCTCACTGGCTGTGATTGACAGCAGCAGGAGCCAATGGTTCCCACTGCTGTGCCTCAGCCAATGAAGAGGGAGAGCCGCTGCTCTCATGCTCATCACTGGATCAGGCTCAGCTGAGTATGGGGGGGGGGGGGGGGGGGAGCTGCACATTGAAGGTTTTTGAAAGGTTTTTGAATACATGAAGATATACAAAAACCTTTGGTATTTGTCTGTTAATTCACCAGATTTATTTATATATATATATATATATATATATATATATATTATGTTTTTTATTTAAATATATCAAATATATATATATATATATATATATATATATATATATATATATATATAAATAAATACATCTGGTGAATTAACAGACAAGTACCAAACCTTCAGCCTTTAGAACTACTTTTAAAATAGTCTGAGAGAATGTTACGGAATTCAGACGTAATGAATCTCCAACCAAATGCCTTTTTTTTTAGATTTGGATTGAGTAATCAGAGCGTATTGCTGTCCGTGTCTCTATAAGGCCCCATGCAGACAGGGGAATTGTCCAAATCTCCTAAATGCTCCTGGTCAGGGGGACTGACAACTCATGGGGCCCCCGGGCAATAAGGGATTATGGGGCCCCTGTGTCCTCGCCCAAACTCAAAAAAGCCTATGAAAAAGGTACCAGAGGCATCTCATGGGGCCCCCTACTGACACCAGGCCCTCGGACAGTGCCCACGTTTCCAAATGGTCAGTCCGCCCCTGCTCCTGGTAGCAGCATTTTGGCAGAAAAAAAACGCTTGATACATGTAACCATGTGTACACACGTCTACACACATTTAGGCGCATCAAGCACTTGGGTGTTCATTCACTTCATTGGACAGCATGATAATTTATTCTGGCCATTGAAATGTCTTAATACTCAAGTGCTTGATGCGCCTAGCAATTACACGTGGTTACATGCGTCAATTGTTTTTTCTGCCAAAACGCTGTTGCTCCTGCAACATAGTGGCAGTGGGGATTTTTTTATGCCTCTAAATACCTATGTGTTCATGAACACCTGTTTCCTTCAGTTCCGGTGAAAGAATTATTATTATTATACAGGATTTATACAGCGCCAACAGTTTGCTCAGTGCTTTACAATATAACGGGAGACAATACAGCAACAATACAGTTCAATGCAAGAGGGTTAGCAGGGCCCTGCTCCTTGGAGCTTACAATCTAAGAGGGAGGGGCTGGTGGTACAAAAAGGTAATAACTGTGGGGGATGAACTGATAGGAGGAATAGAAGATTCGTTATTAACTGAAGGAAGATTAGGCTTCCCTGAAGAGACAGGCTTTCAGAGATCGCCTAAAAGTGGGCAGAGAAGGCGATAGTCAGATAGATTAGGGTAGAGCGTTCCAGAGGATGGGGCTCTGGAGAAGTCCCGGAGATGAGCATGGGAGGGGGAGACAAGGGAGCTAGAGAGCAGGAGATCATGGGAGGAGTGGAGAGGATGGTTTGGGTGAGAAAGCTGTTTCCCTTTAACATACACCCCATGTATAATCTATATAACATTGCACCTATTCTAATGATTACACTCAACAACAACGTTTTGTAAATGATCTCCATAGTAACAGATCTAGGAGACAGTTCAGTTAGTTAGAGATTGTATCTCTCCCTTGAAATATCTAATTATCACATCCTATTGACCTTTGCTTCTGGTGTGTTTGGTTAGAGTTTATTAATAAAGACAGCTTGCCCCTATGCTGTGCAGCACAACATGACGCACAGCTGGAATATATGTCACATATCTTTGGATGACTCAGTGACAGGCGTTTATCTGTGTACACTGCTCGCTGAAAAAAGGTGAAGAAGGGGTTAATCTGAAACAGTATATTATTTTCAGTCACATCTTGCAACAACGTTATATTTTCATCAAGTTATTTTTCATTTCTAGGGTAAAGAACCCGCTGAGATCAGCATTTTTTGTAGTAACTGGATTACTGCTGTCACTCCCTGGAGACATTGCGCTGCTCGTTCTGTATTGACCAGGGAATATTACTGCAGGCTCATTTCACAAACATTGTTTTCTGCTAATACCATTTAAAGCAAGATTTATCAATATGTTTAATATATATATATATATATATATATATATATATATATATATGTGTGTGTGTGCTCTACATTTTTCTCCAGCACAGGCAAACCGGAGTTTTTAGCATCCTTCTTTCAGCCTTGAATATGAATTAGAACATGAAAATGGAAGATGCATCAACTGTCCAAACTTCTGATGGAAATAAGCAAAGGAGCATAAAAAATGAATGATACTCTCTATTTTCACAGACGACCTTAGCCTACGTAGAGCTTCCAAATTCCACTACAGGCATACCTCGGTTTATGAACTCGGGTTAACGTAATTTTCAGTTTACGAATGAAAATCCATTGAAATTAATGCCTCGGTTTACAAATTTTTTTCACAATACAAATGGATTAATTGGTTTTCAATGCATTTACAATTTTTTTATATCATGTCCCTGTACATTACTATGAACTTTATAAAGAGTTTTGAACAGGTAAAAACTTGTTTGACTTTTTTCTGACCTCTGGAACGGATTAATTGGTTTTCAATGCATTTACAAATTTTTTTAATCATGTCCCTGTACAGTACTATGCCTTTAAAGTGCACTTTATAAAGAGTTTTGAACAGATAAAACTTTTTTTTTTTACTTTTTTTTTACCTCTGGAATGGATTAATTGGTTTTCGGTGCATTTAGAAATTAATTATGTCCCTTTACAGTATTTTATGCCTTTAAAGTGCACTTTATAAAGAGTTTTGAGCAGATAAAACCTTTTTTTTTTTTACTTTTTTTTTTACCTCTGGAACGGATTAATTGGTTTTTGGTGCATTTACAAATTAATTATGTCCCTGTACAGTATTTATGCCTTTAAAGTGCACTTTATAAAGAGTTTTGAACAGATAAAATACTTTTTTTAACTTTTTCTGACCTCCGGAATGGATTAATTGGTTTTCAATGCATTTCTATGGGAAACCACGTTTTGGTTTATGAATTTTTCGCAATATGAAAAGTCCCGCAGAACTAATTAAATTTATAAACTGAGGTACACCTGTATATGGTAAGTAAATAGGATCCAATTACTTTTAAACCAGAGTATAATTGCAGGGCTGAACCAAAAGCAAAGCCATTGAAGCAGTTGTGTATTAAGTTAGATATTGCGCAGATGGCCTTCAATATAACCTGCACTCAGGACCGGTCTTTGAAGTGTATGTAAACCCTAACAATGATCTTTTCTGCTTTGATCCCTTTTGGTCTGATAAATATACCATTCGAAGTGTTCTATAATATCTCTTTAATAGGTGCAAAAAAATACCTGCTGATACTGCCAGAAATCTTGAGCTGATAACTTCCTATGTTCTTTGGCTCTGCTGACTGTTATCAGTTAGCATTGTTCCTACTACCCAGGGCTTTTTTAGCTGGAACTTGGCAGAACTCAGATCTGTTACCTCTGGCTTAGAACCTCTTCTCCCTGCTCACCGCTATCACTTCTAAATACAGTTTAGAAAGTCTGGCTTCTGTGTTTACCAGTGATAGCTTGTCTCCCAGTGGCTCCCACAGATCCAATCTCCTAAACAGATCCTGAGTGCAGGACATGGACATGGGAGATGCAGGTGCCCGGGGTACAGTGCAGTCATGGGTGGGAAGGGTCATGTGTAGGTTGCACCCTGTGTGATCTCCTTAATTTCCCTGTTACCCTGATGCTGATGACCCCACTGGATGATCTACCTGTAAATGAGAGAAGAGCCGCTGTCAATGTGCGGAAGGTGCTAGAGCCGAATGAGTGCTTCAGCTTAATACAGCAACAAAAGTAAGATACCTGGAAGATGGTGGAGCTTTTAAGGAGGGGGCAAGAAGATGAGGGCAGTTGGGAGCATTCTATGCAGAGTTCAGAGCTGAAAAGGAACTAAAGTGAGATGTTGATGGTGGATGCAGAGGTAAGCAGTTGTGGAAGAGGGTGAAATTCTGCACTTTGTAAGTAGAGTGCACCTGAACTCTGCACTCTATACGTAGTGCATCCCTGAACTCTGTATATAGTGTATCCTTGAACTCTGCACTCTGTGTGTAGTGCATCCCTGAACTCTGCACTCAGTATGTAGTGTACCCTTGAACTCTGCACTCTGTGCGTAGTGCATCCCTGAACTCTGCACTCAGTATGTAGTTTACCCTTGAACTCTGCACTCTATACGTAGTGCACCCCTGAACTCTGTACTCTGTGCGTAGTGCACCCCAGAGCTCTGCAATCTGTGCGTAGTGTACCCCTGAGCTCTGCACTCTGTGTGTAGTTCACCCCTGAACTCTGCACTCTGTGTGTACTGCACTCCTGAACTCTGCACTCTGTGTGTAGTGCACCCCTGAACTCTGCACTCTGTGTGTAGTGCACCCTGAACTCTGCACTCTGTGCGTAGTGCACTCCTGAACTCTGCATTCTGTGTGTAGTGCACTCCTGAACTATGCACTCTGTATGTAGTGTACCCTTTAACTATGCACTCTGTGTGTACTGCACTCCTGAACTCTGCACTCTGTATGTAGTGTACCCTTGAACTATGCACTCTGTGCGTAGTGCATCCCTGAGCTCTGCACTCAGTATGTAGTGTACCCTTGAACTCTGCACTCTGTGCGTAGTGCACCCCTGAACTCTGCATTCTGTGTGTAGTGCACTCCTGAACTCTGCACTCTGTGTGTAGTGCACCCCTGAACTCTGCGCTCTGTGTGTAGTGCACCCCTGAACTCTGCGCTCTGTGTGTAGTGCACCCCTGAACTCTGCACTCTGTGCGTAGTGCACTCCTGAACTCTGCATTCTGTGTGTAGTGCACTCCTGAACTATGCACTCTGTATGTAGTGTACCCTTTAACTATGCACTCTGTGTGTACTTCACTCCTGAACTCTGCACTCTGTATGTAGTGTACCCTTTAACTATGCACTCTGTGTGTACTGCACTCCTGAACTCTGCACTCTGTATGTAGTGTACCCTTGAACTCTGCACTCTGTGCGTAGTGCACCCTTGAACTCTGCACTCTGTATGTAGTGTACCCTTTAACTATGCACTCTGTGTGTACTGCACTCCTGAACTCTGCACTCTGTATGTAGTGTACCCTTGAACTATGCACTCTGTGCGTAGTGCATCCCTGAGCTCTGCACTCAGTATGTAGTGTACCCTTGAACTCTGCACTCTGTGCGTAGTGCACCCCTGAACTCTGCACTCTGTGTGTAGTGCACCCCTGAACTCTGCGCTCTGTGTGTAGTGCACCCCTGAACTCTGCACTCTGTGTGTAGTGCACTCCTGAACTCTGCACTCTGTGTGTAGTGCACTCCTGAACTCTGCATTCTGTGTGTAGTGCACTCCTGAACTCTGCACTCTGTGTGTAGTGCACTCCTGAAATTTAGCCTCTGTGTGTAAACGACCCCTGAATTCTGTGCTCTGGTTGTAATGTATTCCTGGTATTTAATGCCCATTTAAGTCCCTCCCACCATTACAGAAATTCGGCCATACCTACTGTATGATGGGGCTTGGTGGGTGGGTGTGTGCGGTGAGGGGGGTTGTTTTAGGGGGTAACATGGTTGAATTCCTAGACCTATCCCCTGAAAAAAAGCCCTGTTCCTACCTATCCATGTGGACT